ATAATAGACGACCCTTTTTATAAAAAAACCGTCGTCTTTACATATAATAGACGACCCTTTTTATATGAAAAATGGTCGTCTTTACACATAATAGACGACCATTTTCATATAAAAAGGGTCGTCTTTACTTCATAATAGATGACCTTTTTTATAAAAAAAAACGTCGTCTTTACTTAATAATAGACGACGGTTTTGAGTAAAAGCGTCGTCTTTACAAATAATAGACGACGGGGATTTACCGTCGTGGTTTTATGCATCAAAAGATGTCGCTCGATTTCACGACGGTTGAAAAACCGAATACACGATGGTGGATTACCGTCGTCTATTTTGATTTTTGTAGTAGTGTAAACATTGGCATAAGTTCCAGTGTACATTTGAATGGGACCAACGTGATCATATCTGGGAGGGTGGGATTTTGTAATCTGTGAATCCTTGCTGAGGAATGTTCGTATTAAATTGATTCATTACAAATTGTCAGATCATTTTTTAGTGGGTTTCTGCAGAAATTAGTAGGGTGTATTCAATTGCGATTTTAATAGATTGTAATCACATGATTTTAATGTAATGAATTTCAATAGGATTTGTAATTACAAGATTTTACTTATGATTTTAATAGATTGTAATTACATGATTTTCTTATGATTCACTTAGGACTTTTTTGTATTCTCCAAAGAATCAAAAGATTTGCTCTAGGATTTCATATGAAATAAATAACCAAATGATAAAAGTAATAACAATAATGCCATGTAGCAACTAGACATGGCTTAAGAAAAATAAAAGTTATTCAAGACGTAATACACATTTGTTGGAGCTTCATCTCCTCATATGACCTAGATAGCATCTCTCCACATAGCATATATAACTTGATAAACTTTCATTAAGTGATTGGTATGCAAACCCTTGATTATTTTTCATGTTCTAAAGGCCCTTCTTGGGATTTTATCGGAATTGCCGGACGAGTGAGTTCACATTCGGATTTTATATAAAGAAAAAGAACAGAAGAAAAGGGTCGATTGAATTTGTTGACTGTGCATGCATCTCACTAACAATCAAAATTAATGATAAAAAGATATAATTATTCAAAAGATAAGTTATTCCTATATCCCAAATATTAATTCGTAGCACAGTGGTCCTTTTCTCCCAAGTGGGACTAGAAGACCCAAAGTAAACAAAACAGAGATCTATAGTTATTCGAATCATCATTCTCCAGTTTTTACAAAAGTAAAATATTATTTTATGAAATAAATGTTAAATAAAAAGAAAAATCAATCCTAAAGAATGAGGCAGTGCGCAACAAACCAAAGACACCCAAACTATCAATCGTACAGATTGGTTTCTTCTTCTATGCTTGTTACACACTCTTATTAATAATTGATAAATTGGCAGAGTGGAAAGATATAAAAAAACGGATGTGTGTAGGCTTGTGCCCACCACAGCAAAGCAACACAGATGAGAACCTTGTTTATCTTCTCAAGTTTGTTCATCTTCTCCCAAAACAAATCAACGTGAGAATTAGATATAATAGGGTGAGATTTTTTTATGGGATTTGGTATTTATATAACTCACTTAAAAGTCTCACATAATACATCATTTAATGAAATACCTCAAAATCAGTAAGTTTTTTAATACCACCGTACTTTTTGTAATTTTTTAAAAGTCCTAATTGAATACCACCAGACTTGCATTGATGACTTTAAAGTTCTAATTGAATACCATCATATTTTTATTAATTACTTCAAAATCATAATTGAATACCACTAGATTTTTAAGCTTCAAAAAAATCAATTAAAATCTCAATTAAATACACCCAGTTTCTTCTTATCTGTTAGGTTGTGAATCGTACACCATTTTATGATTTCATTGAAAGTGCTGCACTATTACTTTTAAGTCTTGTTTTTGACAACAACATTTGTAAGCCCTTCTGTATTACAATTTGGTACCTACTGACCCAACTGACTGGATTTTCTATCTAGGAGGCACACCACGAAATGGATTTGTGCCACCCTATAAATTAAAATATTGGAGAAATGATTAGGTGTGGGAACCATCCAATTCGGCTCGGTTTTAAATTCAAACCGAAATTGAAACTAGTACTGTTAATTCGGTTTGATCTGGTCCGATTTTCATACAAAATTGACATTAAAACTGAACCAAACCAGGCTGGTTGCAGTTTAGTTCGGTTCTTGGTTCTCCACAGTGTGGGCCTGCTGTAAAGCCCATTTAAGTTTTTTGAGTTTTTAAGCTTCAAAAAACCTGAATTTTTAAACTGTTGGACTTACATCACAATTGACCCAATTTTGATATCGAATACAGCAAAGTATTCCTGAGCAAAAATAAAAAGAATTCCCAAATGATTCTAATACTGAAAATGAAACCAAATACTGAAACTTTTAACAAAACAAATACATAAAAAGCAAAGTAAATTACAACAAAGTTTAAAATTATAGCTCCATTATGTCATCCATTATCAAGTCGCCAAAAATCTGAGCAGTTAATCTCATGTTACAAGGTTTACGAACTGCTTTCATTCAAACAAAACCTTAAGTGAACATAAAATTGTTTTCTTGTTTGGGTTAATCGTTTTATTAGTCCATGAACTTAGACTAGATTTGCATTTGAGTACCTCAATTTTCAAAATGGTTCCCGTGGTCCTTCAACTTCAGTTTCGTTAAGACAAATGGTCCTGCCGTTAATTTTGTTAACTTTTCTGCTAAATGCAGGGGCAAAATGGTATTTTTGTATCAAAATTGATAAAAATATGAATTAAAAAAAATTAAAATTAAACTCTCTCTCTCTCCCCCTCTATCCCGATTTCTACTACCCCAAACTTAATTTTTCTTTTTTTTGTTGTTGGTTTTTTATTTGATTTGATTTGATTATTATTTTAAAGATATGATTTTTTATTCATTTTTTGGTTTAAATATAAAAATACCATTTTGCCCTTGCATTTAACAAAAAAAGTTAACAATATTAATGGTAAGATCATATGTCTTAATGAAAGTGAAGTTAAAGGACCACGAGAACTATTTTGGAAATTGAGGTACTTAAATGCAAATCGGGTCTAAGTTCAAAAACTAATAAAATGATTATTCTTGTTTTTTAAAACCATGGACAAATAAAAAACATACTGAAGACTGAAACCACACTCAAACAACCATGTAGTCTCCTTGGAAAGTAGCATTAGCTGAATTGTTTCTTGTGCATGGCCTCCTAAGATCTAGAAAATATAAACATAAAAACAAACCGGTTCAGTGCAGTCTAGTTTTTAGAGGTGGAGAACCAGAACTGGAATTGGACACCACTGGTCCGGTCCAATTTTTTGCACTGGGTTTGACTTTTTGGTCAACATGATTTTTTTTATTTCTCAGTCCGGTTTGATTCGGTTATCCTATTCTTCAATCTATATGCCCACCCCTAGAAATTATACAGTGGTACTGAAATACAACGTGGCACTTGCCAGGTATCAAGACACGTGACATTATAAAGTCCATTACCCAAAGAAAAATGCTAGAGGCACCAATTTTGGGCACTACCTTAGGCACCAACTCCCTAGTAGAGCGTGTGACCCGTTGTATTGGTGAGCTCCACCTCTACTAGAGAGTTGGTGCCTAAAGTTGATGCCTCTAGCACCACCTTACCAAAATGACCAGCCTACTCGATCACTCTATTACCACAGTGACCAACCTACTCGATCTAAAGTCCATAAAAATAAAAGCTTTATTTATCAAAAATCTTGTAACAGATGCCAACTTTTCTTTTTATAATTGAATCTCCTCAATAATGGACGACAGCTTTATCATGAGCCTAACCGTGTGGGTTCCCCCACGTTACAAAAGCATTTGTTTCTTTTTCTTGGGTTATAACAAAAGTAAAAGCTTTATTTACCAAAAATTTTCTAACACAATAAGTCCACCGACACTAAAAAAACAATAGTAAGGAAGAACTTGATTTACCAAAAATCTTCGAACACAATAATGGACAACTTTATGACGAGTCTAACCGTGTGGGTTCCCCACGATATAAACGCACTTGTCTTTTTGCAATAATATTCTCACTCGAAGACTCCAAGTCAATGATCTGAGAGTAACATAAATCTTAACTCAACTTCTCAACAGCCAAATCCTTTGCTGCAAAACTTGCTTCAAATCTCAACTCAAGTCCAAATCCTTTGCAAAGAATCGAAACATGGCTTTGGTTGGAGAGGCTTTTCTCTCTGCTTCCGTGCAGGTGCTATGCGACAAGATTGGTTCTCGTGAGTTCAGGGACTTGTTCCGGGGAAAGAAACTGGATGAGTCGCTTGTGAAGAAACTGAAGATAACGCTGTTGAGCCTCAATGCAGTGCTTAATGACGCGGAGGAGAAGCAGTTCACGAACACTTACGTCAAAGAGTGGCTTGATGAGCTTCAAGATGCTGTCTTTGATGCGGATGACCTTCTGGATGAGATCAATGCTGAAGTTCTGCGATGCAAGGTGGAAGCTGAATTTCAAACCGTCACAAATCAGGTGTTGAACTTCTTCTCTACTTCTCTTAATCCTTTTTATCAAGGCATGAATGGTAGGATTGAAGAGTTGCTTGAAAGATTAGAACACCTAGCAAAACAAAAGGATGTGCTTGGCCTGAGAGAAGGTGTTGTTGGGGGAAAGGTTTCTCAAAGAACTCCAACAACTTCCTTGGTTGATGAATCTTGTGTGTATGGTAGGGATGGAGATAAAGAAAAGCTGATGAAACTGTTGTTATCTGATGATGCAACCGACAAGGATGTCTCCGTCATCACCATAGTGGGAATGGGAGGCGTTGGCAAGACAACCCTCGCTCAGCTCCTTTATAATGATGACAAAGTGAAAGAGCATTTTAATCTTAGAACCTGGGCGTATGTTTCGGAAGCTTTTGATGTTACTAGGGTAACTAAGACCCTACTTGAGTCAGTCAGTTCAAAAGCTTACGATAATAAAGACCTGAGTTTTCTTCAAGTTGAGCTAGGACAACAACTAAAGGGCAAGAAATTTCTGTTTGTGTTGGATGACCTTTGGAATGAGAACTATGGTGATTTGAGTCTCCTACAACGTCCTTTTGCATCCGGAGCAAGGGGAAGTAGGGTTATTTGGGAGCTGCCAGGTCTCATGCGCACCGTTCCAATTCACTTTTTGGAAAAGTTGTCCGATGAGGATTGCTGGTTGTTACTTTCAAAACATGCCTTTGAAAATGGAAACTTGAGTGCACATCTACACCTGCAAGAAGTTGGTAAGAAAATTGCCCTGAAGTGCAATGGTTTACCTTTAGCTGCAGAAACACTTGGAGGCCTCTTGCGTTTCAACACAAATTATGAGGAATGGAATAGCATACTAAATAGCAATATTTGGGAGTTGCCTCCTGAAAAATGTAATACAATTCCAGCTCTAAGATTGAGTTACCATTATCTCCCAACTCATTTAAAACGATGTTTTGCTTATTGCTCAATTTTTCCTAAGGGCTATGAATTCCAAAAGGAAGATATAGTTCTACTGTGGGTGGCAGAAAGTTTAATTCCACAAGCTGAGAGTGAGAAAAGAATGGAAGAGCTCACTAAGAAATACTTTGATGACTTATTGTCACGATCATTTTTTCAAAGATCAAGAAATGAGAAGTTCACAATGCATGATCTCATCAATGACTTAGCTATGTCTGTGGCTAGGGAATCCTATTTGAGATGGGAAGGGGGTGAATCACATGAAGTTTTGAAAAGAGTTCGGCATTTGTCGTATGCTAGAGGGCAATTTGATTGTGCTGCGAAATTTGAGCCATTATATGAGGTTAAGCATTTGCGAACCTTCCTACCCCTAAGAAGAGAATGGCATCGGCATTATGTAAGTAAAAGGGTTTTACATGAGTTAGTGCCATCTCTATTATGTTTACGGGTGCTAACGTTGTCACACTATAATAATATAGTTGAGTTACCCGATTCTATTGGTAACCTCATTCATTTGCGCTACTTGGATCTCTCTAAAACTAGAATCAAAAGGTTGCCTGCCACAGTTTGCACTCTCTATAGTCTACAAACATTACTATTGGCAGGTTGTCGGTCTCTTTTTGAATTGCCTACATACATGAGGAAATTGATTAACTTGAGGCATCTTGATTGTAGTGGAACACAAATTGAAGAGATGCCGGTGCAAATGGGTAGACTAAAAAGTTTGAGAACATTGACTACTTTTGTTGTGGGGAAATCTACTGGGTCGCCTATCGGTGAATTGGGGGAGTTGTCCCATCTTGGAGGAAGAATTTCAATTTTGAAGCTTAATAATGTGGTTGATGGTAGGGATGCCTTGCAAGCTAATTTGAAGAACAAAAAAGATCTCAAGGAGTTAGAGTTGGCATGGGGCTCCGAAGATGCCGATCATTCCGAAAAGGTGAGAGATGTACTTGACAAGCTCCAACCTTGCATGAATTTGGAGAAATTGACCGTCAAACTTTATGGCGGGACCAGCTTTCCAAACTGGTTGGGAGACTCTACCTTCAATAAAATGAAAGTTATGCGCCTCGAAGGCTGTCATTATTGCTTCGAGTTGCCACCGCTTGGACAGCTACCTGCTCTTAAGGAGCTCTTCATATGTAAGATGAAATTTCTTAGGACGTTAGGTCCTGAGTTGTATGGTCAGCCATTTCAGCCATTTCAATCGCTGGAGAAGCTGGAGTTTACGGAGATGGCAGAGTGGGAGGAATGGGTACCAAGTGGGAGTGGAGGTCCAGACTTTCCTCGTCTCCAGGAGCTAATTCTAGAAATGTGTCCGAAGCTGAGAGGAAGCTTGCCTTGTGATCTGCCTTGCTTGAATGA